TATCTTTGGGAGCTCAATACAATAGCCTGTATGACCACCTGTGCCTCTGCAGTATGGATCCAGGTACCAGCACAACCAGGAGGCCCAAGAGCACAAGGGCAGAGAAGGATGCTATAGGGGCACCTGTGCAGCTGGGCAGTCCTTAGTGATCTGCTCCAATGAAGGCCTGTAGTGCTCAGGGTAGGGAAGCAACCTAGCTGCCCATAATGCAGGTATTTTGGAGGGCCCTTCTCCAGATCTCATATCATTTTAACAATGATTTGTGCTATAGAATCGCATGAGAAACTTGCACTAGCAAGCCCCTTCTTTCCCATAACCAATATAACATCCATGCTCTGTGAATTTCACACATAGCTGTTTGTGACTCAATTTCCTCAAGCCCTATTTAGATCTTTGACAAAAAATGATTGAGAAGGTAATTCTCTCTTGTCATCTCATCTGATATGTTTTCTGAATTTTTTTTTTACTGATGCACCCTATCAACATTTCGTGTAGTACCATTTGAAGCAATGGTTGATTTGGGTGTGAGGTAGATGCTCTAGAACACTCTTTTCTGCTCACCAAGATACAGTGGGGTATGTGAAAACAGCACTGCAGATGTCTTTGAACTTAGGACTTCATGTAATGTCAACATTTCAGTCTAGCTAAATAAATTATCAGAAGTACTTTTCACCTAATCCATAAGTGGAGATGAAAATAAAAAGGCTTTTGACTGGCACAGTGGTTTTGTGGCTTTATTCTGTTTTGGATTTGGGGGATTTTTCTGTTTGTTCCCCTGCTTCAGTGGAAAGTCCTAGAATGAGAGCCAGATAGTCTACGTTGAGACTGAATTCTACCACTTAGGAGCTGGTGACATGATCAAACTAAATTCTCTAATTCTCATTCTTGTCATCAGTAAAAAGGGGGATATATTAATCACTAAGTATACTGAGATGAATCATGATATTAATTTTTCCATTTTATTTACTGTATTGATAAAACGAGGCTTGAAAATTTCTATCATCCCTGATGTTATTCAGTTTTACTTACAAAATAATTGAAAAATAGTTCATTTTAGTATTCAAAAGTAAACTCAAACCTACTAAAATTCTATATTGATAAGATTATTACAAAAATGTTTAAATTGTATTTCCAAAAGATGAAACTTGATAGATGTGTGATTTCCTATGAGGTTAAACAAATACTGATTTTGGTGATAAAACCACAAACCAATTAGAAGCATTGCAAACATTTGTTTTTAGAATATTCTCACCCTAGTCCAGGTTTAATTATAAAGTAGTTACTGTCTCATTCATCATAAATAGACCAACAGAATGGTACTGGCAAGGCTCTTGAGTAACCTGAGTTCGTATACACTCTGGTGGAAATGGAAATGGGTACAGACTCTTGCAAAAACCACTTGAAAGCATCCAGCAATGCTAAACATGCTTCATGATCCAGCATTTGTAATTTGGGGTAATGAATATTAATAAGTAACATATCTATAAGGCTGCTCAAAATAGCTATTTGCACAATAGCCAAGCACTGGAGACAAATGAAAGCAGAAGAATGTTCATTATAATTTATGTACAATTAATATTGCACAATCTCTCATTCAAAATATGTTTGACCATTTGAATACTTTTGAATATTTTTAGGGGGTGTGCTGACTACTAGGGGGAAGTAGGAATGCTTATGGGGTGCTGAAGTTGTTGGAGACCATTATCTAACCCATGGTTGCACAGATACACACACACACACACACACACACACACATACATACATATAAACCATACATGGTTTATATATGAGCTGTGGTAGAAATATATGGTGAATATTTTCATCTTTTTAAATTTATTACAATAAAAGACACATTGCTATTAATTCCCCTCAAAACACTCCTCCTTACTATAACACACTTATGCTATCATTCTCCACTTTCTAGGCTTCCTTTGTGTCTTTACAAGCTGTGATCAAAAATTCAGTGAATGCTGCTGCTGAGTGCCTCCCAACAGAGAGACAGTCCCATAAAAATTTTACAGTGTATTGTCATCCTCCTTATTCACTGGATCTGGCACTGTGTGACTTCTGACTCTTCCCTAAAGTAAAAATAACCATGAAAGAAAAACATTTTGAATCAGTTCAGGACATCAAGGCAGCCACACAGTGCAACAAAAGACACTCAGGGAAGAGTACTTCCAGAACTGCAGCAGAAAGTAGCAAGAACAACAAGATATATGTAAATCATTAAGGTGGTAAGGGGAATATTTTGAAAGAGGTTAATGTCAATGTCTATTTTACTATTTTTTTAATTTAAATATTCACCATGTTTGTCATAGATGCTTGATATATATGTTTTAAAAATCATTTTAAAAAAATCATTGAATTGTGCTTTTCAGGTTGTCACGAATAGTACTCATTTCACCAAAGAATGTTTTGGAGCCTCTACCACTCAGAGGTCTTGTTTTTATAAAATTGCCCACATTGTCTTACTGATGCTGGAGCAGTTAAATAATGAGTTGTAGCTCACTCTTCCTATAGGACAGCGGCCTATTGTACCAAACCTGACGCGTGGCTCAGGCTATATGGCACAAAGTCAATCAAAAAATCAATTATTAATTAAATTTAACATATTTCACACTGATCCAAATAAAACTTAAGTAGAAATGGTCCGTTCCATCTCTTCTCATTGAGTAATCCTGTTCCCGCCTTTTGCCCCTTTTTCCACCTCTGTCAACTTCGGGGACTGGTGTTAAGACAACAATTGCTGGCTGTGATCGTCACTGGGATACTTGCTGCATACATTTCTAGAGGGAAAATGAATAGAGAGGATTTAGAGCAGATGTTGGCAAAATTTTTCTATTAAGGGCCAAATAAACAGTTTAGACTTCAAGGGTCATATAATCTCTGTCATAACTACTCGACATTGCATCGTAGCACACAGCCTTAGACAATACATTTAAAAAGTGGTTGTATTTCAATAAAACTCTATTATGGACACTGAAGATGGATTCCATGTCATTTCCACATCATAAAATGTTATGTTTCCTTTTTATTGAACCACTTAAAAACATAAAAATAAAATCCAGGCATGGTGGTGCATGCCTGCAAATCCCAGCACTCTGAGAGGCTAAGTCAGGAAGATGGCAAGTTCAAGACTAGTCTGGGCAATGTAGCAACTTATTAAAACCCTGTCTCAAAATAAATAATAACTTTAAGAGGGAGTAGCTCAGTGCAAAGGCACTGGATTCCATCCTCACTATAATTAATCAATCAAATATAAAAATCATTCTTAGCCTCTGCACCATACAAAATTTGGTTCTCTAGACTCAGTTTGCAGAGCTCTAACTTAAAACACGTGATTCTAAGCACAATCAATCTCTATGGGAGCTCAGCTTATGTTCCAAAGGAATACAACATATCATTTCAAGTAAATTGTCAGATTTACTGTATGCAGTACGCAGTTAGAGGACGTCCTCATTCACTGTTTCTTTAAAAAAAAAAAGTAAATATCAAGTTTCATACCAAAGGCTTGTTCCTTCTTTGACATCCTTTTAATTCATAGACCTTCTATAGCAAAGATAAATTTGCAAAAAAAAAAATTCCACTGAGATATCTGAGGCATTATTGTCAATATCTACAGTGTCAATAAGAATCATAATATTTTCATAATTTTAGTTGTAATATGATAAACATTTCTTAGAAAGACTTTACTTTGGAAACTTGAAAACAATGAAATAACTAAAATAGTATAAAATACATTTGTTTGAAGTTCACTACCAAGTGCTGTGCCCCCTTCCATGGTCCTAATCCATGAGGGAGCATATGTTCAAAAACATGCCAGAAGGCAGAAGGACAAGTAACTGCTCTTAACCATAGCATCTTCAAGGCAGACTTTCAGGTAGATCCCTCTAACTCCCTGCTCTATGTGTCAAGGAATGGGAATGGCAGGTCTTTAACCTGATTACTGAGCTATCTCTGTCATTCTCACATTATCCAAAATCAGTTTTCTAAATTTTTACTTAAATTCAGACTGAACAGACTAAAAAGGAAAAAATCATCTACAAGAATAAATTTGCGAAATGACTTCACACTGACTTGTTATTCTCAGCCATCCAAACCCCCGCAAAAGAGGGGGGATCCTTAAGCCACAGTGGAAGGAAAACAGAATGGGGAGCAGTAATTTCCAATGGAGGTGAAATCTGTGCTACAGAAGACCAGAACTATGGTACTGCCTATAACTCACCATCTACCATTTCCCAGGAACATCTCCTGGGCTTCTGTGAATCTTCCTAGAAGCAGTAGTTTGCAACTAGCATTGTCTTCTTCCTTCATTTAGGGTAAAGACAGGGTAAAGTTGGGATACCAGAAACAAGATAAGTACAGGGTAAACAAAGTGAACTAGGAGGAAAACCAGAGTAGGCTGGAAACTCAGCTCCATAGATCATTATAGACAGATATAGATACTGAGCACCTGCTTTGTGTTGGAAACCTCAATAAACTCTCCAGTTGTTTAAGTGAACAAGGAGACCAAGAAACAAATTACACACAAAATAGCAAATTAGCTGATACACAGCAATAAAGAGAGCTCCTGGAGTAACTGCTTCAAAACAATTAAGGAGACAAAGATTTTTTAACAGAGTTTTGTTTCATATATGATTCATGAGACTTTGTTGAATTTCAGATTCATTGACAACTGTAAGCTTTGTATGTGTCTTCTGTGTTTGGCATGTGCTCTGGTCTCTTCTCAACCTAAAACAGTTTGTAGCACATCAGTTGTGAACCTCTGGAAATTGAGGTGTCAGTTCTGTTTCCCAGAAGAGGAAGATGCCAGAGTTATTTCTGAGTCACATGCTGTGATCACCTGAAGAGGAAAGTGACCAGCTCTCTCTGTGGTTTTACATGAGTTGTGGAATGATTATTGAAGTGATGTCAAATACTAGACAGCATAAGCAATAGTCAGAAAAGGCATGTTTCTAACTCAGCCTCCCCATTGTTTTCTGTCTTTCTTTGTGATTTAGGAGGAAGGATGCTGGCTTCTTATCCTACAAAGACCACCTGCCAGTGAGCCAGGTGGTAATTGGAGATACTGACCGGCAAGGCTCAGAAGCCAAACTGAGTGTGGGGCCCCTGCGCTGCCAAGGAGACAGTAAGTTTGCCCATTCACTGTGCTTTACAGTTTATCACATTTAAATAGCATTTCTGTGATTCTCAGAGGTTGCCAGAAAACAGCCTTGCTCTTCTGTAACCCCTACAGAAACATGAGGTAACTAACACAAGCAAGTAGAGTCTAATGAACTCTAAATAGACCTTTGTTCATAAGAGTGGGTGACAGGCATAAACTCTCCAGTACAGGAACCTAAGACAAACATAAAATGTGGATATCCATCTTCCTTGTGAATTCATATATAACAAGTTTGAATACCTAAATTTATGGTAATATAAATAGTGATGCTAATAACATAAAAGTAGCACTCAACAGCTGGTATTCCACTGAGGGCTGCTGTTAATGCCATTAGCATGACTATTTATATCACCATGGTGATATAAATAGTCACATTATGGCTTAATGTATCATTGTAAACTTGGATTATGGCCATATAAAGTTTGACATTATTGCTATCAAACTTCATCATCATCAGAGCTTGATGGTCCTTTGAAAGCCAAAGATTGTTTCTGTGCCTACATCTTGCTTTCAGGATCAGGCACCACAGAAAAGTATTTGGGGCTTCGAGCTCGGACAGTGGGGGATTAGGGAGTTAGAGTGCGGTCCCACCTAATTAAGGGCACCATTATTATGATTTTATGTTGTTTGATACCCTTCTGTGTGTTTTATGTGCAGTGGGAACGAAACAGTGACAGGTTGCTATAGGGATTCTGAAAAGAGCATCCTGGGAATCATTTTCTCTCTCTTCTGTGCACATGTGATTTGAGTAACTGTCTGGGGAGTTCTATGCTTTTGCAACTGTGAACTCAGCATTGGGAGACCTATATTCTCCTCCTTGAATAACTGGCTTGCTCAGAGACCTCAGGCAAGCTTCCCTATTTTCTCAGCTGTAGTAATGAGAGTACCTCCTGCATCCCAATACCTCCTGGGGAGGCCATAAAGATTTTAGTGCCTGGGTTTGGATTCCTTCTAGCAAAGCATTGTGTGAGATGGAATATTTTTACTATTTCCATAAATCAACAGAGAATTAGATGTTCTCAATAATAAATAATCACATCCCCTCACAGAGGTGTCCTAAGAAATGTAATGGTGCATGCTCAACAGTTTACTACTTAGTAAACTGGCTGTCAGAAATTAATAGGATAATGCTAAGGTATGTCAGCAATGGGATAATGTTGAGACAAAAGAGGACTTCTACTGAGTTTTCTCTTCTTACCTTGAGAAAATGAAAACGTGGCCCACAAAATTGAAACTGGTCAAGAAATCTTTATTATACATTTCTTGAATAAGAACAATTCATTTGTCTGGTTGGGCTTAATAAAAGTGTGCTGTAAGAAATTTAATATCAATTGTTTAGGAAAAAGACGTCATAAAAAAATATTTGTTTTTAAATAAATGCTGAGATGGACTACAGTGTTCTCTAAAATTAGGTTCTCATGTGTTGTAGAATGAAAATCAATTGTTATGTCTTAATTACTTATTAATATAGAAAGATAAAATATTTCTGGCTTGACAATTCTAATTCTGCAGTTAGCTTCAAATTAAACAAAGACTTCTCGTTGAATAATTAAGTAAATATACTTGCAATAAATTCTTCTTCTTCTTCTTCTTCTTCTTCTTCTTCTTCTTCCTCCTCCTCC